AACTTACTAAATGTGAGAAATAATAACTATCAGAGTAGACACGAAAACCAATAGGATAAACTCTAAGCAGAACATTGCTGAAGAAATTATTACTGACTTGGAAGATAGCACTGAATACTTAACTTACCACACAGCAAAGAGATAAGAGGTAAAACATATGCACAAGATTCCCCCAAGATCTAGTGAGGTCCTTTACACTTAAACCTCAGGCCTGATCTCTTGGGATGCCTTTCCAGAATAAAGAGAATACAGGCAATGGCAGATAAGGAATATGTGATAAGATATTAACTGAGAATTTCCTGCCATTGAAAAGAGATCAAAGTACTCAAATTGATAGTATACTTTGAGTACCAAGTATAATAATATAATCAATAATAATAATACAACAACAAAATAATGACATGATAAATCTATTTCTAGATATGCAATAGAGACATTTTTAGGAAATCAAGCATGAAAGAAAAAATCTTAAAGCTAAAAAGAAATGTCAGTTTACCTACAAGTTAACAACTTGACATACAACAGACTTCTCATTATAAACAAGGAAGGCCATAGAAAATAGCTTCAGGGGTGCCTGGCTGGCTCAGTCAGAAAAGCATGAGACTCTTGATCTCAGGGTCATGAATTTCAGCCCCGTGTTGGGTGTAGAACTTACTAAAAAAATAGATAAACTTAAAAAAAAAAAAAGAAAATAGCTTCAAAGTGCTGAGGTAATAGCTTCAAAGCGCTGGGGAGAAAATAATTAGGAACTCAGAATTCTATACCAAGAAAAAGTGTAATTCAAAATGACAAAATGAAGACATTTTTAGAAATACAAAGACTGAAAGAAGTTGTGTGAAAGGTGAAATGAAATGGGGTCACTTATGTCCAGGGGTTTTAAAATGGAGCTGGAAGGCCATTAAGGTGGTGGGCCTTATGCACATCCTCATTGGGTGGAACTGTCAAATTCTGAACTGGGCCAAACAGCAAATACTCCAAGGACTCAGACCGAACACCTGCAGCTGCCTTTGCTACAGTAATGCACATTTGCTTAGTGATAGCCTTAGCAACCAATTATATTCAGCCCAAGATTAGTTTTCTGCCACCAACACCAATCAAAATTCTTTGTAAACAACATATACCAGCATCCCCTTTTGTCTTTAAAAGCCTTTCGCTTTTGTTCCCTGAGGGGACACGATTTGGGTTGCTGGCCAAATCTGTGCTCCCCAAACTGCAATTCTAAGGCACCAAATAAATGCTTTTACTTCAGCTCTGCCTCTTTTCTCAGTCAACAATTGCTACAAACAAAACCTGACAATACTGACTTTGGTTAGAAAAAAGACCCTAAATGAATAACACTTTTTTCTTCCTGCAAGTATGTTTCAACAATCTGTTTACAGGGAGGTTGGACAGGATTCAAAACTTTCCCCAGGCTTCTTACAAGCCCCCTTTAACCCTTTCCTTCCCAGTGGTAAATACCCGACATTGTCCTGTCTGTTCTCTAGGAACCAGGCTATATGGTTGGTTGGCTCAGTGGGCACAAGACCCCTGACTGGTGTACCCCAAAGTCAGGAGCAGGATCTAGATGTTTCTTCTTTCTTTAGGCAGTGTCTTCTCAGTTTACACCACTGCCTCTTTTCTCTGCTTGCTACTCTTTAAATGGTTTTCAGAGTTTTATCCATGCCCCTCTTTTCTTCATCAATATCGCGTCTTAACGTGCAAACCTTAGATAAACACATATTAAAATGTAGAGTCTTGCATGTAGCCCGAAATATAAAGAATCAGAATGAAGAAAAGTGACCCTTATAACTCTTGCCAAACAAGAAAGAACTGAGCCTGCAAAGCAAACCAAAAGTTTATTTGGGGTCTTTAGGACTTCAAATACGGGAGACACAGATTTAGGAGAAGCCTGAAATGTGCTCCAGGGAGGGAACAGAAAGACAAAGTTTATAGAGGCAAAAATAATTAGCACTGGTATATATATATATATATATATATATATATATATATATATATATATATATGATAGGTTACTTTGCTAGTTGCTCGGTTATAGTAAAGAAAAACAAGCCTCAAAAAAAAAAAAAAAAAGAAAAAGAAAAAGGAAAACAAGCCTCATTCTGAGAATTCCAACAGGCTGTGGCAGAGTCTAAAGGCTCCATGTTTCATGCAGGTGTCAACGTGCATAAGACCAGCTTCCCCAGGGGCCTCCCAGCTCCATTCTAGGGCCCCTTGACATTCCTATTTCCTTTCAAATGTTTCTTTTTTTTTTAAGATTTTATTTATTTACTAGAGAGAGAGAGAGCACACAAGCATGAGCAGGGGGAAGGGCAGAGGGAGGGGAGAAGAAGGCTGCCCGCTGAGCAGGGAGCCCGACGTGGATGCAGGGCTCGAACCCAATCCAAGAAGGGGGGGGTGGGAATCATAACCTGAGCCGAAGGCATCCTAATTTGAACCCATTTTCTTAGCCCTTCATTTGAGTTACTTTAAGCCATTCTGTTCCCACCTACATTTGTTCCCACATTTTCTATCACTCCCCAAATCACTTATCCTGAGCTCCAACCACCACTTACTTGTCTCTGGACATGCCATGTTGTCACATTTGTATGCTTTGGAACATGTTCCTCCACCCGGTCTCAGAGGTCATACTCCCCTTCTATACCTGGAAGACTCCAACTCTGTTAATATCCTCATCAAATGTTACATCTTCCCTGAGGCCTTTTCTCACTCCCTAGCCAGGTCCCCACCTCTGTGTTTTTATACCAAGGTCTCAATCACAACACCTTCCATATGTTCTGGAAACTACCTGCTCACACCTGTCTTCTCCATCGGTCAGGGGCGCACTTGCAGGAAAGGTCTGATCAGGGTTCATTTGTTTTTATATCAAGGGTGAGTAGCTTGGAGCAGTACTTAATACCTGTTTAATAAGTAAGGGCATAAACACATAAGTGAATTAATAGATATTTGATCAAGGTTTAAAGAATCTACAATCAAATTCTAAAGCAGCATATGTATATTTAAGAATGTGCAGTCTTAGCACACATGGAACTTTTAGATTCCCAGAAAAATCTTATCTTTCATTCTATAGGAAATTCACTTGCTAATGAGCAAATTGTGGTCCTCAAGTAAGAAACTCCAAGTAAAACCTCTTACCGCTTTTTCAAACTCCTTTTTCAATATGAAGATATAAACTTTAGCACACTATAGCGTGTTCTTTGTCCGCTAGAGATAAGGAAGAAGTCTGTGGATATTGTTAGACCGCTTTCTGGTTACTTGCCGTACTCCCCATGTAACCGCTCTAGTCTCTGAATTAATTTGATGCCTTTTGGTCTTAGGGGCCATTGATATTCACAAGTGCTGGACTAAGAAATAGTGGAAAGTATACAGTGCAACAGTTTCAAATTACTGGAGAATTTCAGATAGGAGAGCAATTGTGAAGGCTCAACATAAGAGGTTTAAGATTTTTTAAATATTATGTATTACCATAAACACCAAAATATAAAAACACCAATATAAACACCATATGTTCATGGCAAATATGATTTTACTTTCCTAAGGATTTGGGGAAGTTTTATAAAGGCTTTGTGAGAAATATACTCAGAGACTGACCAAACCCCTCCTCACACACACAGTACAGCAGAAGAAAGGACAGACAGATAATCTATGACTCTACTCAAAGAAAAATCTTTAGAGAGCCAGAGAAGAAGAAACGCTTTTGGAGATTCACAGAATTTTAGCTTTTGTCCTTTTTGGGGATGGCAAATCTGAGGTACATGGGCCTCCACTCTCCTCTACTTCAATACCTGCAGACAAAACTAAGTGATTGCATAGATGTGTCCCTACAATTCCACTTAACACCTTGGGAAGAAATTATAATCAACCTACAGTGGTTCCTAAGGCCATTCCTACTCTAGTAGAGGGTTGCCAAATATTTTCTGTAAAGTACCTGAGAGTCAATCTTTAAAACTTTGTAGCCATATGGTTTCCATCCATTGGAGCTTGGGGTTACGGCACGGAAACAACCATCGACAGGACACAAAGACATGACTGGGGCTATGCTTTCATAAAACTTTATTTATAGACAATAAAATTTGAATTTTTAAAAAAGATTTATTTATTTATTTATTAGTTTAGAGAGAGAGAGAGCACGCACAGAGTGGGGGAGCAGAGGGAGAGGAAGAGCGAGAATCACAAGCAGACTCCCCTCTGAGCACAGAGCCCAACGTGGGGCTTGATCCCAGGACCCTGAGATCATGACCTCAGCTGAAATCAAGAGTTGGATGCTTAACCAACTGAGTCACCCAGGCCACCCTGAAATTTGAATTTTATGCAATTTTCTTATGTTACTTAATATTCTTCTATTAATTATTTCAATCATTTAAAAATGTAAAAATCTTTATCTGTTAGTAGGTATATAAAAATAGGCAGTAGACTAGATCTATATAGTTTGCCAACTCTTGTCCTACTATAGTTCTTTTGTTTTGCACATAAGAAAACAGGGCACAAAAAGGGTAAGTGATGTCCTTAAAATTGTATGAATGAATAATTTGTGGTAAAGCCAGTCATTTTGTGCCAAATTCTCTTCAAGATGGTCCATATTGGCTATTTATTATTATATTTTTCCTGAATGATAAGTACTGCGCAAAATACTTTTCCTTTACTTTGAGAAAATGAATTTTCCCCAGGATCATTTTGAAATATATCTATATTATTTAAAGACTCAATATAGGAGTGGATGGACTACAAATACTTACATGCATCGATTTTTAAGTTGAAATCATTTTTTACTACAAACGTAACCCGCACCTTAAAAGTGAACCAATCCCAATAATTGCAACTAGTCCATTTTAAAAGACACACATAACAGAAATCAGGTGCAGCATAGAGTTTAAAAAATAAAATAGAGAAGGCCTATTATAATTGAAACATTACTCATCAGAAATATTCCAAAAGATGAAAGAACAATCATGAAAATATGTTTAATTCTACTTGAGGCCAAAAAATATTTTGGAAAAAAGTATTTATTTATTCTTCAACATCAAAGGTGCACCCTTGATGGTAGAGGACACCCCCGTCCTTGTGAGTTTAGCATTTTCACGGATAATATTGCGCCGACGAACTGGCTTGCTCTGAAACCTCTCATTAGTCGTGTCAATTTTGGCTTTTACATTCATCGGTGGCACGGTAACTTGAGGTAATCCATTGATATCATACAGCCAGTACATGTCCGGTGTCTGAAAACAAAGAGAGGAGAGATTTTACATGAAATATTCAGGGACTGAGAAAGCTATAGGAAAAAGTTTACCAAATTAATACGGTCTCTCTTCTCCATGCAAGGTATGGGAAATGTACAAAACTGAAAGTGTGCCCGTAATAAATAATTAACATGGGAAATAAATTCAAGAAAGCATTTAGCTTTATGAATTAAGAACCACTCACTAAAAAGTCTCTCAAAGTTAGAGGTCTGCCCTGAGGGTGAAATAAGCATCCATCTGATCTAAGGGGAAGCAATCTATTTTCTTTGCATGAAACTGTTGCCCAGCATGAACTATGTAACTAACCGAAACCATACTTTGCAAGAACTGGTCCATGACAACTTAGGCACGGCTATAGAACCGACTGGTAAAATATGTTGAGCTTCTGTTTTTTAGATTATGAAAGTCTATAATTAATCGAACCATTTGAAATTCCTGAGAATTGTGTAAAATCATTAATGACAGTTATAATCTAAATCCAAGTTAGTACAACTTAGGGATTTATTTAAAAAATCCATCATTTTTTTCTGCATATATGCACAGGATGGCAATATTGAATTACAGTCTAGCATTTTCTGTATGTCTATGTTCATACTTAAATCCCACTGCTCTTACAGAATTTCCGGTGTTGTGTTTATCTGGGTCTTCTTCCCCACAAGAAGATTTGTACCATGTATGGTCAGAAAACCCATTTAGGATAAATCCACGCTAAGTGAATATTGCAATAACATCAGCCAGGGCTTAAAGGGTAATGTGATATCAATTGAAGAATGTTAAGTGCAGGACTTTCTTACACATCTGGAATGACCCTATTTTAATCAGAACTGGCCCTTCTATCCAGTGTTCATAGTAATTGTGTATTCTGAATCAAGGAGTCAAAAGCAGAACAAACCAAAGACTATACTATACCTAGGTTAAATAACATTTTACTTCACATAGGATGCTCAACTTGAAAAACAAAGCTACATTTTAGTGATTGTGCATATATCATTGTAAATTTTTACATTACAGGTGACCCACTTCATGAGTACATATGCATGAGGTACTTGAAGGGAACTGCTCCTATGCCCAACACTCAGTGGTGCTCGGGAGTGAGCTACATAAAGGAATGTACACTCCTATTTGGAATGTAGTAGGTACAAATGGGAACGACATGTAGGGATTTGTACCTTCACCTGACACATCTCCAAGACCCTTTGAAAATAATTACCTATAAGGACACTATTTTTAAAATCCTAAATGTTATTGTATGCATTTCAATTAAGATTCAAATAATTTTGGGCGCCTGGGTGGCTCAGTTGGTCAAGCGACTGCCTGCGGCTCAGGTCATGATCCTGGAGTCCCGGGATCGAGTCCCGCATCGGGCTCCCTGCTCGGCGGGGAGTCTGCTTCTCCCTCTGACCCTCCCCCCTCTCATGTGCTCTCTCTCTCATTCTCTCTGTCTCAAATAAATAAATAAAATCTTTAAAAAAAAAAAAGATTCAAATAATTTTGCCGTAAGTGATGCTGAGTATGTATGTGTGTATATATATATACAAAAATATATATAATCCAAATAGAAAATAAATTTGTAAGAAGTCATTCATGTCCTTTATTCCAACACTCTATATGGTAATAAGAATATGTTTATTTTATAAAAATTAAATATTACAGTTCTCATTTCTAGAGTTAACTTTCTTCAAGTTGTAAATAAATACAGTGACTCATTGTGTTTTTGAAAATACTTTAAAGATATAGCTCTGTGTCTTCCACTCTGAATCTCCTTTTGAAAATATAAATTAAAAAGCTTATGTTAAAATAATATAAGAATAAATCAATACCTCCACATCACTAGTGCCTCTGAGAATCACTGTTGGTTTTACAAAAGAATGTCAAATTGACAATTATACTCCTCAACTACTTATTTAATTAAAAAAAAACAACTATTTTTTAAACAGATGAAATTTCCATATTTTAGTAATGTCTTTGTAGTATGAAAAGGTATCAGCCAAAGAACTCACGGAATGAATGCTCAAAGCTATGCTTTAAAGGACACATTCTTATGAATGGAAACAGCGCATTATGGGCTGTGCCGACCCACATCCCTCAGGTATTTCCATTTCATTGCCTGCCCCAGCTTCCAATTGCCAATATCTATACCTCTTGACTCAAGAGTTTTTCAGAAAACAAAACAAAACAAAAAACAACCCCCCCAACTCTCTAGCCCCATCAGGTGTAAATATTCCGTAGTGTGTTCCACACTATTTTCCATAGAAATCCCATGGGATTAAATTCCAGATGCCCACTGTGGTAATTGCCTTGAAAAAGCACCCTTTATTGGTTTCCATTCCTTTTCTGTCTCATATCTTGGCTTTCCTGCATCTGTTTCTTGAGATCATGTAGGAAATATGCTACTTGGATTCGAATCCCTATTTCAGGTCTGCTTAAGAGAAAATACAAACCACGATTTATATATATAAATAAAATGCCATTTCTTACAGTTTCATGACAATGATTTATTCCTTTAAAAGCAATGCATTTACATGCATATTACTTACATCTGATTATGTCTCTAGTTATAACAGGTCCATAGATATTACTTTTGTACAAGCATTATATGTTTTATCTTGAATAATTCGGATAGCTTTCATATTTTTGTATAAACTATTTAAGATTTATCATGTCCACCATGGAAAGTTGAGTGGACTATTTATTCTCTTTGAATAACATTGCTTTTTGTAACAGTCTGATCAAGTTAACTTAAGTCTCTCAAAGCTAGTGCTATATGCCTTGTTTAATAATAGGGAAAAAGCAGTTTTTAATCATTCTAAATATGGTTTAATTGAAAGGGAACCCATGAAGCTTGCTAATGTAGTTGTTGAAGTTTCTGTAGGTTAATATTTAAAGATTTTTTTAAATTATTATTTATTTATTTGAGACAGAGAGAATGAGAGAGAGAGAGAGCACATGAGAGGGGGGAGGGTCAGAGGGAGAAGCAGACTCCCCGCCGAGCAGGGAGCCCGATGCGGGACTCGATCCAGGGACTCCAGGACCATGGCCCGAGCCGAAGGCAGTCGCTTAACCAACTGAGCCACCCAGGTGCCCCTCTGTAGGTTAATATTTAACTAAACTGTTCTTAAAGATCCTCATTTTTATTTCTAAGTAAAACACAATGAAGGTCATATGTTTCATATATAAGTATTAATTGATTTAATGCTTAAAATCAACAGTTTAAAGAAGATGATAATACCATACACAGCAATTTTTATTTAGATAATGAATTAACTTTTAAAATTCTTCACATTTATCATGTGAGACATCATGGTGTTGTCATTAAGAGCAGGATTTTAGAATCAGACAATGTTTGAACCGTGATTTCAAAGTCATTGATTTGATATATGCAATAAATTTTATGACTCAAGGGCATTATACTCAGCATAAAAAGCCAATCTCCAAAGGTTACATAGAGTATGATTCCATTTATGTAATATTCTAGAAACTAGAAAATCGTAGAGATGGAGAAAAGGTTAGTGGTTGCCCGGGTAAAGGAGTTACAGTATTAGATGTGACCATAAGGAGTTAGCAGGACAGTTTCCATACTGTTACCAGTTCTCACAGTTGTGTTGGAAGACTTCTGTATCTCAGTTGTGACTGTAGTTATACAGATCTATACATGGGTTCAAAGTGCCTAGAACCACACACACACACAAATATACGTGAAAAATGCTGAAAATGAAATAAGGTCTCTAGCTTAGTTAACAGTATTTAAATATAGTACTATAGCTCTATAAAATCTCACCATTGGGAAAAGCTGGGAGAAGGATTCACAGGATTCTGTGTACTATTTTTGCAACTTCTTGTAAGTTAATACTTTTTTTAAGTTAAAAAATATGAATATGAGATTTATGAGTCAATTGGAAATTTGAACACTAAATGGATATCTGATGTCATGATATTAAGAAATTACTGTAAATTTTTAGATGTGATAATGGTATCATGGTTACAATTTTGGTCTTTTAGAGATTAATAGGAAATAGTTGAAGAAAATAGGATGTCTGGGATTTTCTTCAAATTAATATGGAATATGGGGAGGGGGGTGGGAATATACTTGAATTGGTCATGATTTGATAAGTGTTCATACTGGAAGATGAATGTATGTAGATTATTCTATTTCTACTCACATTTGGAATTTTCCAAAATAAAAGTAGAATCAACAAAATAGTGATTTCTTAAACACATTACAATCTCAATTTTCCCCACAAAAGCTTTATCAGACTGTACCACTTCAGACTAAATGAAAATTTCACATTTTCATTTGATCCCATATATCAGCTTATTCTCTCACAGAAACCCTTTAATTCTGCTTCCAGCGATTTAATTGTCAAATCAACATAGGGAAACCGGGCACAGATTTTGTTGGGAAAGCCCCCAACATAGTTAATTTCAGAAATGTTCACTAGGTGAAATAAACATCATTTTCATTTGTAAACCTGTTTTTAAATATGTCATTTAATCCCCTTAGAGTAAGAGTATGTCCTTATTCTTAAGGAGCAGGTACGATATGATCATTTTAAATCAAGCATCTATATAGCAAAGGGCGATGTGCAGCAAGGCTCCAGAGGTTTTATATTTTTATTACCTGGGTTGCAAGAATTCCCAGAAAGATGAAAAATATAAATAATTTTCTTGAGACATATTCAACATTATTTTTTTCTCTATTCATTAAAACAGTAACAACACATTTTTCTGCCCATGGCACTGCCTAATTAGTGTCTGATTTAGAAGTCTAGTAATCACTGTGGCACCAGTGGTTGTGTCTTGAAACATGACCACACGTTCTCTTTAGCCTAAAAGCCATTAGTAAAATACATGTGTGAAATCTGATGGAGAAATTTTGCTTACTGCATAAATTTTCAAAATAGTGTTTACCTTACCTTTTAATAAGATGATCACTTGAGCAGACTTTTATATTAATGGCTCACTAAATTGTGTTTTTCTCCATTCAAAATCAGTTTTATCTTCTATTTAATTTTCTTCATTTTCGACTTTAACATTTTGACAGTACCTTATGCCTTAATGAAAGATTTCAAAATCTCTGTCTCAAATCACCTGAAGTCCTTGAATGTGTTATTACAGATAACAATATGTGAATATACAAATCACTTTACAGTCAATATTTATCTCTTCTGCATTTTCTTAATATGGAAGAGAAATAATTTCTTACTTCCCACTGGTGATGATAACTTTTTTGCTATATTCCATATTTACAAGTTCTTTACTGGGCAAAAGAAAATTAAAACAAGACAGAGTAGTTGAAATATGTTGGCTTTTGCAAGGTAATGTTGCTATTCTTTACTTGGGTGAAACCTTTTCTCCTTTCATGCCTTTAGTGACATCAAAGAACTCACCTGTATTGCTAATGTTGCTTTGTATTTCCTACTGTACATTCGGGGTTTAAAACCCACAAGGAGGACAGTTCCTTCAGTGTCAAAAGGAGGAAGTTCTCCAACCTGAGGTTTCACAAAAAACTCAGGATCACTGCCAGGTAGGAAGTATGCAGTGAACGGCTCGGGATTTCTAGAACAAAAATATAAATATTAACTTTAAATTTTATCATTACTCTTTGTGAGCACTTGATGGATAGAATTTATATCCTGTTGCATAGGACTACAGTTAAACTTTAATGCTGCCATGCAGCTATGAGCCTAATGCGTGTTACTTTATAAGAGTGAGGAGGCCTTTTAAAAATTACTGAAGTGTCATTCTTCCCAGGGTGACAAAATGGAATCTTAAAGATTTTTAAAATTACGTCTTATGTTTTTAGTACACAAAGAATAAAATGTTGTCCCTATAAAAATTTGAAGAACTCAATGTCCCATATTAAAATGTAATCATTTGTAAATAAATTCATATCCAAAATGCATGGCTAGAACAGCTATCATGAAGCCTTTGTTTTTATTACTATTCCATTGTGGTTGCTCACTCTCCTTTAGCTTTCCACTTGTGAAGTGAGATGAAAGTACTTTGCAGGTTCATTAAAGATTCTTGAGCCTGAAGATGAGTTGCTATGATCTGAAGTGAACTGAGCAGCATTTAGGATTCAAGTGACCATTTTCATGTCAAGGTTGATTACATTTGAGATGAAGATGGTAAAAGAAGTTGAGGAACTCATTTGGTAGAATAAAACAGGGGAGGAGTACACTGCATGGGAAGTTGTACATGAGGAATTTTAAATCCAAACTTTCTGGGGAGATGCAATTAGAAGGTAAAGAACAGTTTCCTAGAACAGATCCAACAGTGAATCATAGAAAAGGAGATGGGAGATTCAGGTTGGGACTCAGTGATCCACTCAGCAAATGTATTGAGTATCATCTCAGAGGGTTTGAGAAAGTGGACTATGGATATGGATGGCTTGGATTGGAATCCCAGCTCCATGTAGGTGCATAACTTTAGACAATTTACTTTTTTGTACTTCAGTTTTCATATCTGTTAAATGAATTTAATAACCTCTATAAAGCCATTCGATCAGTACCTGACATGTAGGAAGTGCTCTATAAGGTTTAATCAATATTAATATAATCATTATTATGATTGTTGTTTTAAAACATCTTATTACCCATGCTTATTATCAGGCAATGATGCATGATGCAATAAATTTTAAAAATGTATAAAACAGAATACCCAGGGGTTCTGGTGGAATAGGAAGACCCAGACCCTCTTTTCTCCCAAGGAACAACAATACAAAGACCAATTCCCATTGTGAGAAATTCAGAAACTAGTTAAGAGACGTCTGCCTTCTAGGTGAGCACAAAATCAGCTGTTTTGAAGTCAGTAGGAAAACTTGTGGCATGCTCTCACCAAAGTTTGCCCTCCACACCAGTGCAATAGCACATGATTGGGAGGAAAGTCTCAGCTTCCATTTTACCCTGGGGAAGGAAAGAGAAGAGTAGACCAAATATCCAACAATTGGACTTCTGGTTGGAATGTGAAGGGGTGCTGCCCGAGGGACTGGCTTCTGTCTTGCTTGTCTTGAAGTACTGATGGGACCTGACATACTATAGATGCATGGGGGCTTCTAAGAACAAGCTGGGCAGGGTGCTGGTGCTTCAGAGGTCCCAGCAGGTTGATACAGCTCAGAAGCGTCTCCTTAAGTGTGGAAAAAGACGAGTGGAACATGTGTCAAACTTCCTGGCTTTTCAGTAGGCTGCCCAACATTCTGGTTTATGTCCATCCTGTCTCAGAGAACTGACAGAACTTGGCAAAATCTAGATACCTAAAGGCTACTGAGGAAAAAAATAATAAAAGATCTGGTTGGTGTATTGCTGCTTCAGAGTGCCAGGGTACAGAAGACAGACAGCAAAGAGAGCAAGAGGTTAGGAACTCCTGAAAAATTAGAAACCAGCAAACCCCTGTAATCTTCACACACAAGTTCATACAGATATACTCACAAAAAAGATCTGAGGTGTCCCCAGGATCTCTAGTTGGTCTGAGTGGTGAAGATCTTTCCCTGCATGAAGCTAGTCTATGAAGACTGAGAGAGGTGGCTTTTTTTTTTTCAAATGTGGGGATATCAACACAAAGTTACAAAGAACATGAAGACAGGAAAGAATTATTCAATTAAAGGAACAAAAGAAATCTCTAGAAACACATCATAAAGAAATGGAAGTAGAGGAATTACTGATCAATTATTAAAAAAACTGTCACGAAGATGCTCAACACTATCAGGAAAATAATGCATGAACAAAACAAAGAGAAAATATTAAAAAGGCCAAACAAATTTTAGAGCTGAAGAATAACTGAACTGAAAAACTCACTAGAGTGTTTCAACAATGGATTTGATCAAGCAGAAGTAATCAGGGAACCCAAAGATAAGTCATTTGAAATCATCCAGTTAGAGGAGCAAAAGGAAAAAGAAATGAAACAGAGTAAAGAAAATCTAAAGGACTTCTACAGAGATGTCAAGTCGCCAATATACACATAATGAGTCTCAAAAGAAGGGAGAAATAGGGGCAGAAAACTTACTTAAAGAAATAATGGCCAGGAGGGGGGAAAAATGGCAGAGGAGTAGGGGACCCTATTTCAACTGGTCCCCAGAATTGAGCTGGATATCTACCAAACCACTCTGAGCACCCACGAAACCAGCCTGAGATGTAAGCAGATCTAGGTACGAAGCAGGGAGCCGTGATTCCGCGGGCAGATATCAGAGGATAAATAGCAGTGGGAGGGTGCCTGACCGTGGGGATCCTACACCACCGGTGAGTGATAGCCTCGCGCACTGGGGACAGGCACAGACTCGCAGACCAGTAGCAGCAGGGAAAGGACTTTAGGGCAGCCCCCGGGGCAGAAACCTGGAGCACCACGCAAACTGAGAGTGGATGGCGGTTTTAGAAGCACAAAGGGCAGAGACATGCCCCGACCTGGAGGCAGGACTGGGAGTGCTGTGGAGGGGGGCACAACCCAGGCCGCTGCAGTTTATAGCAGCAAGGACAGAAATGGAGACAGTGTGGCCTGGAGAGCTCACTGAAGAACAGACTGTGGTCTCTGCTCTGAGGCAGAGGGTTGGAAACGGTCTCTTCTGCTCTGACTCACGGAAGAGACGTGGAAAGCCACCAGAGAACAAAAGCCCAAAAAACTGATTCCCGCTGAGCCCATCCCCCACGACAGGGGGGCAGAGCATTATCACCCAAACAGGGTTGCCTGAGTAACAGCGTGGCACGCCCCTCCCGCAGAAGACAGGCTGGGAAAACAAGAGGCCAGCAACCCTAAGGTCCCAAGAAAACAAGTGCATCTTGCTTGGGTTCTGGTCAATAATTTGGACTCTATACATGCCCTCAAACACCCATCAACAGAATGACTAGGAGGAGGAACACCCAAAATAGAAAAGACTCAGAGATTATGACTTATGCTACAGATTTACAAATGGATACAGATATAATCAAGATGTCGGAGATGGAATTCAGGCTAGCAATTGTGAAGACAATGGCTAGAATGGAGAAATCAATTAATGACAATATAGAGTCTCAAAGGGCAGAAATGAAAGGGGAATTGGCAGAACTTAAAAATGCTATCAATGAGATCCAATCCAATCTAGATAATCTAACAGCAAGGGTAACCGAGGCAGAAGAGCAAATAAGCGACCTGGAAGACAATATAATAGATAAAAAGGGAAAAGAGGAGGCCAGGGAAAAACAACTCAGAATCCATGAAAATAGAATCAGAGAAATAAGTGACACCATGAAGCGTTCCAATGTCAAAATCATTGGAATCCCGGAGGGAGTGGAGGGAGAGAGAGGACTAGAAGATGTATTTGAGCAAATTGTAGCTGAGAACTTCCCTAATCTGGGGAACGAAACAAACATTCGAGTCCTAGAGGCAGAGAGGACCCCTCCTAAGATCAAGGAAAACAAGCCAACACCCCGGCATGTAATAGTAAAACTTGCAAATCTTAGAACCAAGGAAACCATCTTAAGGGCAGTTAGGGGGAAGAGATTCCTTACGTACAGAGGGAGGAACATCAGAATAACGTCAGACCTATCCACAGAGACCTGGCAAGCCAGAAAGGCCTGGCAAGACATATTCAGGGTACTAAATGAGAAGAACATGCAGCAAAGAATACTTTATCCAGCAAGCCTGTCATTTAGAATGGATGGAGAGATGCAGAGCTTCCACGACCGGCAGAAACTGAAAGAATATGTGACCACTAAGCCAACCCTGCAAGAAATATTAAGGGGGGTTCTATAAAAGGAGAAAGACCCCAAGAGTGATCTACAACAGAAATTTTCAGGGACAATCTATAAAAACAACGTCTTCACAGGCAACATGATGACAATAAATTCATATCTTTCAATAATCACTCTCCACGTGAATGGTCTAAACGCTCCCATAAAATGGCACAGGGTTGCAGATTGGATAAAAAGACAGGACCTATCCATATGCTGTCTACAAGAGACTCATTTTGAACCTAAAGATACATCCAGACTGAAAGTGAAGGGATGGAGATCCATCTTCCATGCCAGTGGACCTCAAAAGAGAGCTGGGGTAGCAATTCTTATATCAGACAAATTAGATTTTAAACTAAATTCTGTAATTAGAGACACAGAGGGACACTATATTTCTTAAAGGGTCTATCCAACAAGAAGATCTAACAATTGTAAATATCTATGCCCCCAACATGGGAGCAGCCATCTACATAAGCCAACTGTTAACCAAAATAAAGAGTCATATTGATAACAATACGTTAATTGTAGGAGACCTCAATACTCCACTCTCAGCAATGGACAGATCACGTAAGCAGAAAATCAATAAGGAAACAAGAGCTTTGAATGATACATTGGACCAGATGGACCTCATAGATATTTACAGAACATTCCACCCTAAAACAACAGAATACTCATTCTTCTCGAGCGCACATGGAAATTTCTCCAGAATAGACCATATACTGGGTCACAAATCAGGTCTCAACTGATACCAAAAGATTGAGATTATTCTCTGCATATTCTCAGACCACAATGCTCTAAAACTGGAACTCAATCACAAGAAAAAATGTGGCAGAAATTCAAACATTTGGAAACTAAAGA